CACACGCTGCGCTTCACGCCGTCCATGAGCAGCGGCCTGGACCCTGACACCGAAACCGAGCTGCGCGTCACCGGCTGCGAGCTCATCCAGGCGGCCGGGATCCTTCTGCGGTTGCCGCAGGTGGGGCTGGGCGCAGGCGGGGAGAGGGCCGGGACTCAGCGGGGCTGGGACATTCTTTGTGCAGCCCTCGATCTCCCGGTTAGCGGCCGGGGAGGCCGCGGGGCCGCCCCGCAGTTACTGGCCGGGTAGGCCGCGGCGCCACCCGGTGTTCGGGGATCGTTCCGGGCCTTTCCGGCCCTCCCCGGCTGCTGGGTGCCGGAAGCAGGTGATGTCAGCGCCTTTCTCCGCCGCCCTCGTGTGCGGATCGGGGATTGTGTAAAGACTGATTTCTGAAGACTCTTTTGGAGTCCTGGTGACCTCGGGAAGGTTTTGTTTCCCGGAGAACTTTAGGCTAAACAGCCTCGTTGCTTTCTGAGCGTAAAATTTTCCAGGCACCTTCCAGCTATCGAGTCTTAGCATATTCAAATATGTGCAAATCATGACGTTATTAGATTCCCCCTATTTCCACGCCCTAAAAGCAAATTTTTTTTCTGGCATACTTTAGTAACTTTAACATCTATTTGGTTTGTGGTTTTTTTCATTTTGCTTTTTTATAAATTTTATTAACTGAGAGCGTATTTTCCACATTTTTTATAAAAGAAAATTGGGATTTGCTGTCTGTATTTGACTTGTAGGCAGTTTTTACAGTGTTGACAACATTTTTGGCAACTTAATTACATAAGTAGCAATTCTAGTTTTCTTTAGATACCCTTGAACTTCCTCCCATGCTTAATTTATTTTCTGGGTCTTAAAGGTACTAAAATTTCTCTTCAGAATTGGTAGTTTTGTTCATTATCCCCTGTTATTATCCATTTTTTTAGGTGGCTATGGCTACAGGACAGGTGCTATTCCAGCGTTTTTTTTATACCAAGTCTTTTGTGAAGCATTCCATGGAGGTAAGAAGGCATAAAATTACATTTGTTGCTATATTTATCTTCCGATCTCTTGGCAAGTTGTAATCTGAGATGTGATCAGTCTTAGGAACTGGTCTGGAGATTACAATTATAGAGCAACATGATTTTACAAAGCTATTTAGTAGTGATTTTTGTCAAGTATTTCAATTTTTTATTTTTCCACATTTTTTCCCTCACTAGTCCTCCTTAAGATGTTGAAGGAGCTCAATTCCTGAACTGAAATGGATATACTGTATAAAATATTGTATTTTATGCTTATTTTTCAGCATGTGTCCATGGCCTGTGTTCATCTGGCATCCAAAATTGAGGAAGCCCCCAGACGCATTCGGGACGTGATCAATGTGTTCCATCGCCTCAGACACCTGAGGGAGAAAAAGTAAGCTGAGAATTCAGAATAATCTGAACTATCTGTGTTGTGTTTTAATTATTAAACTTCATGACAGCATCATTCCCTGTTTCATAAATCAGGGACTATTTTGAAGGGATCTCACGAAGTGAGCTGACATGTTTTAATAAATAAATTTTTTGATGATATAAATAATAATATTTTTTATTTTTACACAACTCAACCTGAGTCTCCATAGGGAGAGAAACTCATGACTTTGACCTTGTCTTGCAGAAAACCTGTGCCTCTAATATTGGATCAAGAATACGTGAACTTGAAGAATCAAATAATTAAGGCAGAAAGAAGAGTGTTGAAGGAGTTGGGATTTTGTGTTCATGTGAAGCACCCTCATAAGGTTTGTACTTTATAAATTCACTATATAACCAATGTTTTATATTCTGTAAAGCTTTGAGGAGGCTGCCTGGAAGCTTTGTGGACTGCACATGATAATCAGTGAATTCAGTGAGATTAGTTTCTTACCATCCTGATGTTTTCTTTCTCATTTAAGAGACTCTTACTAATTGGTCTCGTATCACTGCTGAGTGACGGCGAGGTGGATGCAGGTGCTCAGTATTCCTCGAAGGCAGATTGGATCAGTAGGTAGCTTTGGTGATAGAAAACATCCCCTGAACTTAGATCTCTAAGCAGGGAGGAATTTGGAGGCCTGGGGTTGTCATGATCACTCCTGATGGGAATGTGCTGAGGTATTAATGCTCTGTGTGCCAGTTTAGTGTTTGCAGCGTGTTAAAACCACACTCAGGCTTGTCTAGAAAGGAGACAAGGCTCAATATAAAAGTAACAAGGGTCAGAGTGTATGACACTTGAAAGATACAATTACCTCAAATATTTAAATTTTGCCTTAACTGGTCAAAGAACTTCGTATTTCTGTACCAAAACAATTTGGGATCTTGCTCTTTTCTCCTCTAAAAAAACTCCTGTTCAGAGCATTCTTTTTAAGCTTCTTGACTTTCAGAATTTCCTTCTGTCATCCACCCCAGAGGACAGCGGTAGTTTGTTAATTGGGGTGAATTTTGCCATTATTCTGCCTCTTTGCAGCCTTGTTTTCCTTTCAAACCAAAGGAAAAACCCTCAGAACTGAATGAACCATGACACAGTGTTGTCTGTTCTCCGCAAGCACTGCCAACTTCCCTCACTGCTGATTGCAGTCAGCAGCTTTTTCTCCCAGGCTGCAGCTAAAAAAGGATTTGTGAGGTGTCTAGGAGAACAAAATCAAACCCAGGTGAGGACAAGGCCTGGCTGAGTGGCAGGATGGAAGGGCTCGGAAGGTCAGAACTGGTGTGGATAAACACTGGGGATGGTGCAAACACTTCATGTGGAGTGTTTTAGACCTTGAAAGAGGATCACAGATGCCTCATGGATGTCCCTCTGAAATAAGCATGTGGCTCTCCAGATGCTTATTAATAACTCAATAACCCATATCTTCCAGATAATCGTTATGTACCTTCAGGTATTAGAATGTGAACGTAACCAACACCTGGTCCAGACTTCATGGTAAGTTGATTTTCTTTATTCTAAGAGACCAGAAGGGGCAGTAGCAGAAATATGTCACTTGAGGCACTGGGCAGCACTGCTCAGCAGTGCTTGGGGCCACCCCAGACATCTCCACTGTCCTTGGTGTGCCCCAAACTACTTCCCAAATGTTGAGCGGCCTCTTAAGTTCGAGGCATGGTTTTAATGGTAAGGTAGCTTTCCACCCTGACGTCTCACTTCCCTCCTTTCTGCTCTCACTTTCCAGCTGAAGGGAAAAGGTTGGGTGTGTTTAGAGTTGTTCCCTTGGGTTCTTGTTCTTCAGGGAAAACTTGGGTGTAATTCAAGTCTGTTCCCAGTGCTGGGAGATGGCTTTTCCCAGGGCCTGAGCTTGATTCCAGGTATATCAAAACCTCAGCACAGATAAATTTCTTTTATCTATGTGGATAATGCAAGATGTCAGCTTCTAAGACTGGATAGATGGATAGCCTGGATTCATGTTTGCCAAGAAATGTTCTCTGCCTTATTGCTCTCATTTAATAAATATTTGCTTGGGGGTGGGAAGCTTCTGTAAAATTCCACGTCCTTAACATCACCAAATAATGCTTTTAAACCGTAATGCTTTTTAACAATACCAATGGTCTAAAAAAAAGCTACCTTTAGTGAATCCAAGGACCATATTTCTGCTGACTGAACTGTCTGGTAGTGTGACCTGTGTGTAGAGAACCAGTTTTGACTTTTCTTTTCTGTACTCTTTTGATCAAAGGGTAGCCTCTGAGGGTAAGTGACTAAGACTTCTCCTCTGCTGCCCATGGTGCAGGGATAGCTGCCGTCTTCAGTCAACCCAAAGCTCTCCAAAGAGAAGGCTGGCTCTAGACAGGTGGTATATACATGATAGTAGAGTAACTGGCCAACTGCTTCTTGTGCTTTATAATTTTATTTTTCACTCTGCATTTTTTGATTGTTTGTATATTTGATAACCTGAGTGTTGAAATTCTGAAATTTTTGTTTTAATGTTCTGTTTCTCTTAACTGTTATAATGTGATGTGTTTCTTACATGAGGACAATTAAGTTGGGGTTTAGATCTTAAAAAGGGATGAATTAACAAGAACAAAAATTAATAGTTTCCATTTGTAAACTAGTATATGTGTGAAGCTTGGAGACAAAATGTGGTATTTAGAGACACTTCCCAGAAGCATTGCATGGAGCAGTGGAATGGGGGTTCTGGACTTCCAGGAATCTGCTGCTTGTGGGAGGAGGGGAGGTGATGGGGAGGGAGGGAATTAACCCAATTGAGAAAGGGGTTAGATGTTACAATAGCACATCTGTGTGCTCGTGTTTGTTGCTTCCAGTACCCAAAACTGGTGGGTATCCAGTATAACTGGTTTTTGACATGCATTTTTACAGCATTACCTTTTTCTTAAGCTTTTGTGACAAGGATTCATTTCCTCCTGTGTCTGACTGAGCCCACAGGGAAGAGGCCAAACTTGGAAGCTGGCATGGTTCTCAATTTGACAAATCAGAAAAAAAGCTTTCTAGCTTTTAGATGTTTGAAGTCACCATTTCCTTTATCACTTCTTTGGCCAAAAAGTTTGTGCTCTCTTTGTAGTGGGACAAGAACTAGGTTTAGAAGTTCCTTTCTCCCAGAAAGATGAGCTGATGCTCAGTGTTGCTTTTTTGGGGCAGCAGTTGCTCTTTGTGTAAATAAGAATTGAGGACAGCTGGGGCAGGTGGCAGTTGGAAACTCCTGGGATTCCAGTTCCTCCTCTCTGTCCTTGTAAATGTTGCAGGTGCCTGGCCTGTGGTCTCTGCTTTGGATATTTTGGGGGTCAGTGAATCTTTGTATACTGGGTACCCATATGGTTAATTATTACTTTAAAGTATTATTTTAAAGATTTTTATTATGTCTGGTTTTAGTTTTTCTCCATCTGATATTTTACTGATGTATGTGCTCCCAAGTCTAGATCTTCTAAATCACATGAGCTGACAGATTCACAGGCATTTACTTTGTGTATTTAAGATTTAACAACATAATGCTTAAGTGTACTGACTGGAATATGTGCAATATTTTACAGTTTTCTCATTCTGTGAATATTCATTTTAAGCAACCTTACTGAAATGGGACAATTTGGAAACCTTATTTCATGTGCCAAAGAGGAGATCTGCCTGAATACTGACTGTTCTCCCGAACTGATGTTTCCAAACACCCTGATTTCTCCTGTGGCTGACTTTTTGCATCAAAAAGAAATCTGTTCTGGATGGAAATGGACCCTTAAATCCCACTGGAAGTTGACCTGTGTTGAAGAGGACTGCATTTCATGGGAGAACTGCTCCAGGAGCTGCAGCTTTTGCCAGACACTGGTTCTGCCCTATTGCAGGGGAACATGTGAACCTAAAATTCTATAACTGAGTATTTCTGAGCACACTGTATGTTGTCTTGATGAAAATAACTTGTTTATTGCATGAGAGCAGGCCAGTAGAGATCCAGCAGCAAAAGTGAAGTTAAAATTGGTTCTCTTCTCACCACTGAATTTTCAGCAGTCAGACTTTGTTTCTGTCACATGTCCCTCCCCTTGAGGGATTTATTCTTAGTTATTCATTTTATTTTTGTATCAGTAAAATCATTCAGCTTTTCTGTAGATTTACAGGAATGTCATGTTGAAGTCTAGTAATTGAATGCAGAAATAAATAGCCCTTGTAGATGTAAAACCAAGTCAAAAACCAAAAAAAAAAGAGCCCCAAAGAGCTTTGCAGTGCCTTGCAATCTCCTGCTCTCCTGTTTTTCAGGAACTACATGAATGACAGCCTGAGAACAGATGTCTTTGTGAGGTTCCAGCCAGAAAGCATTGCCTGTGCCTGCATTTACCTGGCAGCCAGGACACTGGAGGTGAGCCACACTTCCATGGATTTGGGGGGTTTTTTCCAAGCCTTTTAACAGGGGGAGAAATACGAACTTTGTCTCTCTCTCTTTCAGATCCCACTTCCAAATCGCCCACATTGGTTTTTACTGTTTGGAGCAACGGAGGAAGAAATTCAAGAAATTTGCTTAAAAATCTTGCAGCTCTACACAAGGAAAAAGGTTTGGTTCTTTTTCATGTTGGGAGCCCTCAAGTAAAGGCTGCAGCTCAGAGCAGGAGTTGGAAAATTTGACCCTGTTTGAAACCACAGCTGCAAGCCTGGAAGTGAACAAAGAGCAGTCACTGTCTGGGACTCCTTCGATTTTCATTCCCCTCCCTGGGAATGAGTAACCAGGAAATTCGTTTCTCACAAGCAATGCTCCTGTGTTCACAGGTGGATTTATCTGATCTGGAAAGTAAAATAGAAAAGAAGAAATTGGCTATTGAAGAGGCAAAAGCACAAGCTAAAGGTCTGGTACCTGAAGGAGTTCCGAGCTTGGATAACACATCAGGATTCTCCCCTATCCCAAAAAATGGTAAATGGTGGATAAGTCATTTTTAGTAACTCTTTCACATTGTTCATGTATAGTTACCCTTTTGGGAAGCATTTACAAGTGTGGTTTGGGGCTTGTTGGGGATTTTTTTAAGTGCTTTTAGCACTACTAAACTGGCAGGGTTTGAATAGAATTGTAACTTTGTGATTTCTTGAATCAGATAAAAGCTAAAATCAAATTAGTCCGAAATTAAGACTAGTTTAAACCCATATAGGCCAGGGATTTCCTTTTATGTGGATTTGGCAATAAACTCAAATCCTTGCCACTGGCATGTTGTGCTAAAGCAATATTTGAAGCAGAGGTCCTCTGGCAGGGGTAACATTTTGGGATGTTGGGTGGGGAATTTGTTGGTTGAAAGTTTCCAGTCTGTCTCACCTAGAAGACAACATTCACCATCTTCTTTCCCAGTTTACCTTTCAAACAATGCTGAATAATTGGCAAGGAAAGGAGGGTGGTTTTCTGCCTTTTCTTGCAGTTACTTCAACACTTCGGCAGAAATGTTTCAGATGAGTTTCTGCCTCCTGTGAACTTGTTCAGATCTGCTTGTGGGTGGCTGTGTGTGCAAAGCACAGCTGTGCAGCTCTGCTTGGTGCAGACATGGGGTGAGGGGAGGCTCAAGTCCTTTCAGGTACTTTCCAAAGAGATAACAAAGGCTTCTTCTTGCAGAGTCTCCAAAAGAGGTTAAAGGGAATAAACCTTCACCACTACCTGTGCAGGCCATGAAGAATGCTAAAAGGAAAACTGAGGGAGCCAAGAGAACCAGCTCCAACAGCCCAGTAAATGGGTAAGGTTTTATAAGGAAGCAGCTGATTTTCTCTCATGAGTTCTTGAAACAAAATAACCAACTGTTCATTGTCTCTGGCAGTGTCCAGAAAGGAAGAGAGAGCAGGAGTCGAAGTGGCAGCAGAGATCAGAGTTACTCCAGGTCACCATCGAGATCTGCATCCCCTAAGCACAGGTAGGGTGTGCTCCCAGTCCCTCCCAGTCTCCAGTTTCCCAGTGCCAGCTCTGATAATCATCACCAAGAGGCTGAGGTGACCCAGGAGTATGTTACTCCGAGTGTGGGTGTTCAATGTATTACTGTACCTGAAGCTGGAGAACGGGATAAGAGTTCCTAAAAAATCAGTGTTTTTACAGTAGCCAGATGGAGGCTTAAGAGACGAGTTTTCATGGGGTACTGAACAGCAAAATACAGAATGAAGTTCTTAAAATTCAAGAAAATCATTCTATCTCTCCTTTTTGTGTAGGAAAAGTGAGAGTTACTCCACGTCCAGCGGCTCCAAATCCCACAGCCGCTCGCGGAGCCGCAGCGATTCTCCCCCGAGGCAATTCAACCACAGCTCTGGCTACAAGGGCTCCAAGGTGCGGAGCTACAAGAAATCCAAAGACTACAAATACTCGACGCACAAAGCGCGCAAGTCGCGCAGCCGGAGCTCATCCCGCTCCCGCAGCCGCTCCCGCGAGCGCTCCGACCACTCGGGCAAGTACAAGAAGAAGAGCCACTACTACCGGAACCACCGGCATGAGCGCTCCCGCTCCTACGAGCGCACCGGGCACCGCTACGAGCGCGAACACCCGGGGCACAGCCGGCACCGCCGGTGAGCCCCAGGGCTGCTTCTGGGGGGGTCCCTGCTGGTGAGCCCCCAAGCTGCTTCCAGGGCTGCTTCCCAAGGACATTCCTGCTGGTGACCCCTGGGGCTGTGTCCAGAGGGAGTTCCTGCTGGTGAGCCCCAGGACTGCTTCCAGTGGGAATTCCCTCTGGTGAGTTGGGGTGGCTTCCTGAGGAAATCCCCTCTGGCACCTGAGCACAGAGCTGGGAATGCCCACTGCAGCTGCTTTCTGAGGGATTTCCCTCCAGCACCCGGGCACAGTTGGTGAGCTGGGGCTGCTTCCCTCAGGAATTCCATCTGATGCCACTGGTGAACCAGGGCTGCTTCCCTCAGAATTCCCTCTGCCAGCAGAGCTTGCTCCCAGTGGCTTGTGCAGTACCAGGGTTTATCTGGCTGAAGCACCCCTGGCTTGAGCTATGTTCTGCCAGCGGTTTGTGCTCATCCATGAATCCAAAGGAAAGATTGATGGGGTAGGAAGTGATATCAGGAGTGCCCTGTGCTGGGGTGTCACTATCCACCCTCATTTGGTGCTCCTGTCTTGCTCTTCAGTAATTTCCATCCCCAACGCAGTGCTGTGTTTGGGACTTCCAGTCCTGCAGGCAGCAGCTCCATGGCCCATCCTTGGAATGCTGTGCCCAGCAGTTCTTACCTGTGGAGCTGGAAAGCTCCTCAGCCCCTTGGGAGTGCTTTGGTGCTAACAACATCCTCTTTTCATACTGGCTCTATGATGTTGTACAGGTGGGAGGTGACTTTTTTTTAGACCTGTTGCCTATATTAGGTTCTCTGTGTATATATATTTTGCAGTGTTACAGTACAGTATGGGAAAATGGCCTTCCTAGCCTTTACACTTTACCCACAATGTAAATAAGCATTTGTTTAATACAGGTGAAGATATATACAGAAAATTCAAAACTTGAATTCTATCAAAAAAGACTTGTGTAGAAAATTCTGATAAATGTGAAAGTATTTAGCTCCGTGCATTGAGAGTAGTATATTTTTATCTGTGCAATGCTGTGTGCGGGCCACCAGCTTGGAAGACATTTCCTATATATCCATTTGAAGTGGTTGAAATTTCTTTACTCAGGATCTTTGACACTGAAGAATTCGTAGTTTGTCAGTTTGCATGCTTGATGAACAGAGCATTTAAAAACCAATTAGCAGAGCCCCACAGCCCAGTAGTATCAGTTCTAGTGGTATATCTGAGCTGTTACTCTCATGCTCCCTAATTTCATTAAAGTATTTGATTTTCTATTACATTCACTTGAGAGTAGTTTCTTGTGACCTACACCACTTGTGCCTACTCATAAAGAAAGAAATTGGTGCAAATTTAAGAGATTTTCAATAGATACAAGACTTGGAATTGCCATTCTCTTAAAGGCAGGATTTTTGGGCACCAAACCTAAAATCCCTTGATCCATCAAGATTTGAGGTGGAAAGTGCATTTCTCTGACCTCAGGAGTAGCGGCAGGTCCCAGCTAAGTTTCCTGAGCTGTGTTTGCTCTGGGCCTCCTCACCTGGACAAAGGAGGAAGAGCTGGGGTTATCAGAAGTTGCACAGCTGGGCCTTGGGAGAATCGCATCCCTTGGGCTTTGTGCCAGTTCTTGGGGGGGTGAAAATAGTGTGGCTGAGCATCTGTGGTGGGTTTGGTGTGGGAGCTGCTGGTACACTGGAGGAAGTCAGTGCTGCTGCTGAGCAGGGCAGGAGCTGGCAGAAGTTCACTTGAAATAAAAAGCCCCACATGCATCTGTGTGTGTAGACAGCTCTCAGCCCTTCAGGTGAGTTAAGGCTTTGTTTTCTTAATCCCTGGTGACTCCACCATGGCTCTCAGTCATCAGGACCTCTCACAGGTTGGTCTCTGATCTGTTCCTGGTGTTTACCTGCAATTCCTTCTGCTCTGAGAAATGTTCTGCTTTGAAGGGTCAGCACTGAAACCTGATTGGTAGAAGACCCTGCAGGCTTGGCCAGGTGCTGATCTGCATTCCTCGGATAAATCCCACCTGCTCTTTGCTCAGATAAAATCTCCTACCTGCTCTGGCCATCCACCCCATCCTTCCTGGGAAAAAATCCTCAGTTTCCCAAAAACGGTTCACACAGCAGTAAATTCACTGCCAGAGCTGCATTTGTCTGCCTCGGCAGAGGCTTGGCCACCAAAGCTTTGTCAGGTGAGAGCCCAAAGGATATTTCCTAGAGGTTGCCAATCCCAGCTGTGCAAAATTCCAGCTGTGCCAACATCCCAAGCACAAAGAGGTCACTAAGCAGTTTTAGCTTGATGGGGATTTTTAAAAAGGTTTTCCAACCCCACCAGAATTGTGGTGATGCACAAAGGAAATTGTTCTGATACCTTCTATGGGAAGGAAGGTAATGGATTAAAGCACCTGGGGAAGTGTTGCTGCTTGTGAGACAGAAGTTGCTGGAGTGGAGCTTTATTTGGAAGAAAAGAGAAAAACAGGTATCAATATCCAGGGCAGCCTTGCTGCTGGCTTCCTGCCACAGCTGCTGTGTGCACAGGGATGAGTTTTTCCCCCAGCCTTAGAGAATGGGAATCCAGGCTGTTCCAGAAGCCCCTGCTCAGCTCTGCTCACAGCCAACACTGTCTGAGGTAGGAGAAATGTCTGGAAGGATTTTGTCATCTTCATCTCCCCTGGGAATGTCATGGGAACATCAAACCTGAGCTATCCAGCAGCAATACTCTAATATATATATAAATCCTGTACATTTTTGGAGCTGTTGTAGGAATTTAGAATTAAACCAACAAAAGGGAAACAAGGCAGACTTAGCTGTTTGAGGCTTTTCTACAGAATTTTTCTAAATTACCAAATCTGTTCAGTTTCCCAAGTACAAGGGGAGAGTCTATCCTAGCAGGATGAAATTAGTTTTAAAAGCGTAGTGATCCTTTTTAAAAAAGAGCAATATTAAGCTTATAGATGTAGTTAAAGCCTTTAAACCTCCATCCAACAGTTTCTGCATGACTGTGCAGATCAGTAATAGGTTCTTAATTTGGGAAGGCACATGCCAGTCCTGGGGGACAGGGTGAGGATGAGCTAAGGATAGGAGCCTGTACTGATTTCCAGGACCAGGTCATGCACGGTGAGGAAGGGAGAGAAACGGTAGTGCACACCCCCAGCAGCCCTCGGCAGAAACGTGGAGAGTCCAAAAACGGGGGTCCCTTCCTGCCTCTGCTTCATCCCTTCGTTGAAGAGCTGAATCCTTTCCTTCTGTCCATTCCTGGCTGCCGTGGGGGAGCGATTTTACCCTTGTCCCGACCTGTGCGGCCGATAAATGAGGGTCAGAGGGGGCAGGGGCTGCTCTGCGGCCATCACTGTGTCACCCGCAGGGCTCTGAAGTTCGTGGAGCAGGGTTTGGGTACCAACCGGGAGCGGGACGGGCTCGGGTCGCGGTGGCAGGGGGAAGAGCCAATTCCCCTTCCCCGGCCGCTCTCCGAGCCCGTTCTCTCCCGGAGCCGGGCGGGAGC